GTCTGCAATCTCCTGTGGGCGGCCTCCGCGTAGTTGTTCGTACGGGAGTCCCCAGTGAGAGTGCGAGAATACACCGACCACATAAACGGATGAAACAACGGCTGTCGCCGGACAACAGAACCGTCGGGGAGGATATGGAGAAGTGAGCCCACATAATTATCCTCGAAATACTTGAGAGCTGGCATCAGCTCCTGCGGCAAGTCAATTGCGAGCTCAGCTATCGCGTTGTCGAGGTGAGGGGGAGGCACAAACGCGAGAGCTGCTATCATCCTAGCGCTGAGCGAAAAGTTCCCATCCGTACGATACCGGCCCAACAAGCCGAGCTCGCCAAGTTTCTTCTTTAGATTTTGAACAAGATGAAACAAGCATCCATCGATCCGCGCATTCGGAAAAGCCGCAACAAAAGCTTTGATAAGGCCCATCTCGTAGTCAGTTGAGACGGCGAGAGGAGCGAACGAGGGCCAGGCTTGGAGGATGAGTTCGATCATCCGAGAGTACGATGCCTGACTTTTATCAGGCAACAGTGCGTAGCAAACGGGTATCACAAAATCACCGCGTTCTGCGAGAATCGCTACTATTTGGTAGAAACATGGTGGTGACAAACTAAAAGTACCATCCACATATATCTTCTTAGATAAACCGATCCAATCACCGACTGTTTCCCGCCCGAAGACTAGGATTCGTCTCTCGTCCCCTTCTCCTGCAAGTTCCGAAGGGATCAAAATTAGTGGATGAGCGAAATGAGTTCCATTGAAACCGGAAACATGATGTCAGATTGCTCAGAATCTTACCGGTGTCACCGATGAGAAATTTCTCAAATTTTCCTGGTTCGCTTTCGAACGTCTTGTATTCATCGGGTATGATCAGAGATGAGCGATTTACTGGAGCAGCCATCGGTCTCCTAGCTCCTCTACGAGCGCGATTGACGGACCTTGAGAGCGTTTCGGTACTCGGCAGGATCAATTTTGCAGCTTTGCTTGACCTCTCGATAACTCCTTCGATCAGTTGCAGCGGGGTCTCCTGGCATTCCAGAGCCTTCCGCTTCAGAGCAACTCTGTTCCTCGCCACTTCGATCGCTGCAGGGTCGGGCTCATCGCTATGAAGACCCATGACTTTGAGGACTTCTTGAGTCGAAGCTGACGTGTGTAATCGCACTTTGCAGTTTGTGAGATACTGACATCGCCAGAACACCTTGGTTCCATCCTTGCTGCGCTTGTCCTGTACAAACATATGTCCTTCGAAAGCCAGCTTCGGTTTCCACGCTGCGACACCAATCCCTCTCTGCCCGGAGAAGCCATTGTAGTGGCAGAATCGTCCGCAAACGTATTCACTCACAGATCGCGAAATCTGAACCAGAACCAAAGAATGAGCGGTCTCGATGATGGCAGCACGTGGAGGCCTGATGCCTTTGGAGGAAACGCACGCGATCACCCGGTGCGAATCAGAAGGTGCCGCCGACGTCATGTTCTGGAGCTGTGACAGAAGACACGTGCAATTCGCCCTGCCTTCGCACTCGTTACCGAGAGCGGACTGCTCTGTTTCTTTATGCTTTGCACGAGAATCGGAGCAAACGCACGGTCCTCGAATCGTCTGGAAGTACCTATCGTCAAGCTGTGTACTTGGGATAGCAAATCATGTGGACGCATCATTTTCAAGCAGTATGCCTCCTGAGCTAGGATCGAGTTTTTTTTTTCTCAATCAATAACAGTTTATTCAATCACTCGCGAGCAATGGCTGCATTTGTGATGCTTATGGCGCTGTTGGTGAGGAGGGAGGAGGGAGATGGTCTAGGCAATGCGCTTTGAGTTGTTTTTGAACTGGCTCAAATTGGGTTGTCCCGGCGTTAGCTCGTCCGGCGATGAGTTGTCTCGGCGTTGAGTTGTCTCGGCGTTGAGCTATCCGGCGTTGAGAAGTCGGCGTTGAGATGTCGGCGATGAGTTGGTCGGCGATGAATTGTCTGTGTCCGATATCGAGTATACCACGCAGCACACAGACAATTGGATCTGTCATAACCTCAACAGCGATCGGTCCTATTAAGGGAACGCGAGCGTTGCTAGTCGAGGAATCTCGTCTCGATTAGAGTTTTCTAATCTGATCAACTGATCACCAATAAACTCGAGCTGTTCTCCCTTCAGACGAAGTCTTGGACGACGAATTATACTAATATTCTCGTGTATCCATATACCCAGTACCCTTCCGACCCGAATTCGGAAAGGAGGTCGACCGCCTCATTAGGAGTTTCGTTCTCAATACCCAATCCAGTCCTCATTGATATTCTAGAGCTTAGAGAGAATCCTCGCAGGAGAATTCGAGCAATCGACTGAATCCTCGGAAAGTTCACATCTTAGGCGATGGATATGTGGGGGGATCAAGGCTCATCCTGCTGAGGCATCTCGAGAGCTCTGAACGGCATAATTATTGATGCTCGAAATAGTCTCTCGACCAGGAATGGCCCTGGAGTCGTCGTCGATTCCGGAATGGGTATCTGGGTCACAGTGCTCGGACAGGTTTCGGACCGGTGCTCGATTCCCATTCAGGAGACCTTGAGTGGGGAAATTAGCGGGTTCTTTGGGAAAGAGCATCCGACGACCGGAAGTTGAGGTCAAGGACAGTCGAAACTACCTCAAGAGAAAAGGCCGAAAGTTCAAGAATAACTTCCTCTCGAAGTAATGTCACTTCCGGGAGCGCTCGGCAGAAGAAAGCCTCGTCAAGAGGGGGAACGCATCTTCGACATGGACCTGGAGCATCATCATATTTATGTTGGGATCGAATCTACGAGATGATATATCACAGAATGCAGCGTTCTACATCGTGCGTCCGAATCACGACTCCTGGAGATTCGGAGCCGCTCCGACGGTCACGATCTGCGGAGGCGTCATAGACGGGGCTCCGGAAACGTCCGGCGATGTACGACGTTCGTTTCCTCGCGGGTCTCGATGGATCTAGTGCTGGCTCCGGGTGCTGTTCCCGGGGAATTCCGTGCTCCCGATGGCTTGAGAACGGAAGGGGTCGAGCTCGGCCTTCTCGGCTTTCCCGCTCGAGCGAAGTCCAAACGCTGAGTTTCGGAGGATCCAATCGTGGTAATGGGATATCCTGGTGAACACTGCAGGATGTCTGTCTCCGCAGTTAGGCGATCCAAAGCTCGTGACGCCAGTCAGGACCTTCAATGCGTATTGCTATTCAATTATGCGATGCGACCTCACTTATGGTCAAGAGGCGTTTGGGCTCCAGCGAACACATCGAGATTCCTTGGTACCTTCTCGCCGGCGGTGTTGAAGCAAACCAAGGGACCACCGGAGTCTCCGCTGCATGCCGATCTACTGTTTCCCCCAGCACAGATGTGCCCCGCGTCGAGGACGACAGTTGGCATGTCTGAATAGAGCCGGCGACATCTCTCCCTGGGGATGTGTTTTTGAAACGGCGGAGTGAGCTCGATGTAACGAGAATGGAGCAAAGATGGAGATTCGACGAGGTTCTGCCAGCACTCACCGACCGACTAATCGCAAGTTGACCTCTTGGAGCAAGCGAGGGTAGATATTCCTTCTTGCGGATGTAGTTCCCCAACCCGAGGTGACGCAATGCGAGAGATTCTCGTTCGTCGCCAATCGGATCGGCATTAGGAAAGGCCCAAGTTCAAAGGCCTTCCACAAATTTATCACAGCAATGTCGGCCTGATGAAGAAGTCGAAACGTAGAGGGAAGATTCGAGCCCCGGGATCCTTCAGAATAACCGAAGGCTTGCCACAAGACACTCAAGCTCTAGATTCTTAGTTCGGATTGCGTGTCGAGACGGTAAGAAGCTTTCTTTGCGATCTTCAACGCGTGCTTCCGTTGGAGCCAATGAGAACTCACCCTGACAATTTCCAGTTTGTAATCGGGGTGTACTCGGATGCTGCGACAGTAACCTATTTGCCCGGGATTATTCAGATCGATCGAGCCGGCTGCGATTCTATACTCTTCACCTCTCTGCAATAATTGCAGAGAAGTCGTTCAGGGCCTCTTCGTTGAACTATCGGACCTGTATCGGTCCGTCGCGGGATTTCTGGATTTCCCTCACCATGATGCAATGAGCTGCGGTCACAACGGTCGATAGACTGATCAGTGTTCCTCCGCAGGCATGAGTATAATTCGTTGTCCAAGACTTCGTCTGAAAGGAGAAGAGCTCGAGTTTATTGGTGATCAGTTGATCAGATTAGAAAACTCTAATCGAGACGAGATTCCTCGACTAGCAACGCTCGCTCCCTTAATAGGACCGATCGCTGTTGAGGTTATAACGGATCCAATTGTCTGTGGGCTGTTTGGTATACTCGATATCGTTGACTTAGAACAGAACAGTTGAGCGACGGAGATCCCTCTCGTGGAGATCTCTAAACGGGGCTGGGAATCCGTAGATGAGGGGCGAATACCATACGTACAATTTTAACCTGAAGACTGATTTGCCACGGATTCGCGGCTGGCAGCGCAGTTCGACCGTTGATGATGTACGGGTCTGCCCCGCGAGGAGCGCTAAGACGGGAATCCGCGAGGTAGGCAATCGCTTGGAGAGAGAGCAAGAGATCAGGAAAAAACTCATCACCCCTCGACCGGAAAAGACTGCCATACCCTTCGAAGACATTTTACCGAGCGTCATGAGCCACGAAGCACACATCTTGGAGCATCGAGAAGCGCACTCGCTGTCCGATCTTACTGCTCTTCTATATATGCATGCATACTGCAGCGGCGCATTAGGCTTTGTCGATTCGAGCGTTCCCGAGAAGGCAGCGAATGAAACACAGAATCGGTGATATGAAATTCTACCAAGTCCAGGCGTTCGGGGAAATCATTCTCTGTGAATGGTAGAGTTCTCTAGAACAGATTACGAGTTATCTGGGAAATTCTGTGGAATTCACCGGAAACTCCTCCAGACGATGATGGCCCCGAGTCACCGATTGCGCGCTCGAAACAACGTGAATGAGCCTGTGCGAATTTGCTCAGGAGAATCCGGTCGCTAGAACCTTCCCACTGTCTCGCCGGTCTACCTCTGAATCGTTCTTCGGCTCGAGGTGAGACTTGCTTGCTTACCCCAATCGAATGTGGGCCTCAATAAAAATGCAACCCAATCTGACTTCCTCGCTCAATGTATAATTCACCTGAAGCGGACCTCCCGGCTGGTTAACGTATTGTTCGCAATCACGTCCTTGCGACATCACTCCGTCGGACGAGTCCGGATATGACAGTCATGAGTCGCCACGATTCAGAAGTACCCTCTTCTGGGTCGGCTCCATCGAGATAACACTGGGGTCAATTGAATGTTTTCAAGTTCGGGACTTCATTTGATGGGAACGACTCCTCAACACATTCGGAATCATTTCCCCGTCATGGAGAAATGGAGCGCTAGAAGAATGGAAACACCGGCGGAAATTCTGACAGAAATTGTAACAATTTATTGCATTGACTCGGAGCGAGCCCCCAGCCTCCCGCATGGGACGGCAAACGATCATTATTGTACACGAACACAAAAAGACCATCGCGATCCTGCCTCACGCACCTATTCTCGATATATACACACATCATTTCGCAGCTCAAGAACAACACCTGTGCTGCCCAGTCCGACTCACGGCAGAACGGCACGTATTCCGAGTTCCGCTCGAAGCTTTCGCTGAAAAGGGTCTCGGATAACGCCTCTGTGAAGGCCTTCCTCGTCATGGTGAGGTCCTTCTGGAGCGGTCTCCGAAATCGACGCCGCTGAGCATCGTTCCAGCGAGCGACCTCATGAATGACGCTCTCGACGTATAATTCTCATGCGACCTCTCACTAGCTACCGGCGCACGTCGGGAAGCATAACTTTTTACACCCGCTCATGAGAGCCTCAGCTGGAACTTCACATCACGAATTCATGGGTTGAAGGAGAGACGTTTTCTCCTCCGCGCCTGCTTCCAACTCGGTTGCTCCAGCCGTAACGGCCAGGTCTGCCTCTGCGATCGGAGCGTCGCTTCCCTCCGCACTCTTCGGTTCGATACGGAGCGCCGGTTCGTCATGTAGCACTTCGGGAATGAGCGGTGATGGCAATTCAGCGTTGTCTGGTGAGAGCAAATCTGGTTGCACGGGAATCGGTGGAAGCCCCTCAATCCTCGTGATCTATGAGGGAAATGGAAGCGTCAGCCAGAATTTAGGGAGTTCGTTATCGATCAACGGTGGAGACGAGTGATCTGCGGGGGAAAATACCTTCTTCCGCATGAATTGAGGCACGCAACGAATGTCAACATCCGCGGACACGATATATTCGTGGTGACTGGCCGCCTTCTGGGAACGTTTGAGAGCTCCGTCGACCTGGTCCCCTAATGGAGATATCGGTTTGTGAAGGACATTCATTGCGCGCTCTCTGAGAACTAAAGCGATATAACGGAGCTCTTGTGCCCTTGCTCGTAGGACTGAATGTCAGCTCACCTATGTCCTTCTGAAGGCTTTCGAGCGTGATTTTGAGCTGTTGAGTTGCGTCGGCTAGTCGATTCTGTCTTAGATTAAGCTCCTTCAAAGCCGCCATGTTGTGGTACATCATCCTGGCACCTTCGGTAAGAGTGTCTTCGGTTGGAACGGCTTTGCCGGATACGTAGGACTCGAACTCCTCCGGTGGCATCTGATTCCGGAGATATGAAAGTCAGTTTTGGGACCCCAGATCAAGGGCTGCAGAAGCTCTAGAACCCTGTATTCTGTAGCAGAGATTTCATTGCACGAATTTTTCCCCGAGCCCTCCGAAATCGGGTGACGACGGGGGTTCCCTACCTGCAGTTGAGCCGCCGTCAAGTTCTCGATGAAGTTCACAGCACCGCAGAGATTGGTGAACATGTAACCGCTCTCGCCGCTGCGAAGTCTGCTCTGAGCGCTGAAGAGAGTCACGAGTTTGATATTTGTGTGGAGTCTCGGTGGGTTCGCTCGGAGCACCACGTATATCATGGCGGGAAGGAAGTCGTCGGCTCCTCCTTGGCTTTTACTTTGCGGAGCTGCCTGGAGCATCTTGAAAATATTTCTGGCAGCTTCGATCACACAGTAGAGTTTCTCCCTAAGAATAGAAAGGAACGTTGCGGGAGAAGGCGTCGAATACTCCTCCAATTGGTATAAATTCAGCAGGAAGAAATTCCGATAGTCACCTCGGCGAACGTTTCGAGTCTATGAAGATCAATTGGGTGCTAGCTTCGTCCATGAACTCTTTCACGGTCGGATGTATATCATCGATTTCAACGTCAAGATGATGAGCTCGAACCCAGTGCAAAGATCTGATTCGTTGAAGGACCCCAAGGTCGCGTGTTTCTTCTTCCGACGACAAGACTCCAAAAAGGACGCTGGAAAGGATCGAGTCTCTATTGAACTCCTCCGGCCTTCCTCTCTCGAAGCCTCCCGCTTTCGTCGACAGCGGCAGAATCGTCTCAACTCACTCGTAGGTGTGCGAAATGAGGAAATCCTCACAGAGTTCGACCGCTTCGGTGGCTGAAATCGACTCAGTGACCTGGATCGCTTTGTCGTAGATCAGCTGATATGCGTCCTGAACCATGTCTGACATCGATTCCATCGACTCATTCCTGGGGGAAACGGGCCATTCAGCTCATACGGGAAGTTTGATAAGAAACAAATTATTTCACCCAAGATCTCTGGCGCAGGAAAGGCGTAGCTCGGTTAGGTTTCCTCACTTTTTGAAGAACACCTCCATCTTCTCTAAGGTGTTGTTGAGGACTTTCACGAATTCGTGACATAACTCCTGTTTGAAACCGAGTCTCTTGTGGAGATCGTCACTCAACAGCGCCAGGCTATCCGATGCTTTTTTGTCCCGCAGAACCGGTCCTGACGAAGCGTTCAGGAAAGTGGCGTTTTCTGCGAAAGGGAATGATCTTCGTAACGTGCAAGTTCGTGATCTCTGAGAATTCTTCTCAATCCAGAGGATACGATAATGCTCGGGATCAGTGTCAGATGACTTCATCCTTAGGGGAGGAGTCTGAGGCTCAAAAGAAGGCTCACCTTTGATTGTGTTGGCACGTTTGATGAGATTCTTGAGAGTTTTGTTACTTTTCTGACGCGATTTCTTCTCTTCGAACTTAAGAAAGTCGGTCGGGGCTCGAGTCTCGCTGCAAACGTAAACACATCCCGCCGTGTAATAGGCTCCCGACATGAAGAGAGCTCCATACATGCTAGTGGGCATCGGCTCATAAGCCTCGCTTATCGATGCGAGGATACTCTGGAACATCTTGCGCGGAGTTCTTTGCGCTGTCCGCGGAAGGGAAACACTAATGAGTCGGATTGATACGGATGACTTCCACGCAGTTCTCCACGACGACTCCCGAACACTCGTCGACTCCCCCTTTTGTATCGATATTGACTGAACGGAGAGGATGGTCTCTTATCGACGAGAAGCGAGCTGCGACGCAGAGAGGGAGAACTTTGACTCGAAGATAGGGACTCGAGAACTTGAGAAATTGGTTCTTGTCGAGCTGTCGCCGACTGCGGACCGGGATCCAACGGTATCGGAGGCCTCGACGCTCACGCTTCAGGGAAGTCACTTGCATATATGCGAGAACTCGGCACCTTCGCGGACTACGCGGAACTTCCTCCGAAGAGTCGAGGCACGTCAACAATCGACTGTGACCAGCAGCTCTGACGTTTCGATCAGGTCCTCAGAATCGGGCCGGAGTCCATTGCTCAAGGGAAAGATAGCGCAGGGCTTCTCGCGAGCTCCAGATAAGCATGCTCGGTCAACACCGCAACTGATCTGCTGACTAGTATTACAGAAATTTCTCGGAGCAGCGTCCTCTCTCACGTTGTTTTCGCTGATGCTTTTTACTACTGCGTTCTCGATAAATTAATGATTTATCGCATCACCGTGTCCCAGAATCGGTAAACACCCTTCGTTAGCACCTATCCGAGCCAGAAATGGTCAGAAAGTAGCATCTGCCGCGCCCAACATGAACACGATCTGTGTCGAAGTTTATGTAGATACTTTCGAGCCGGACTCGGCCTCAATTAGCCTGAGTTGTAACATCATCCTTCGGGAAAGTCGATCGATGGCCTGGCGGCACTGAATCATATCCCCGATGTTGGAGTGGTAATTTTTCCGAGCTCGGGAACTGAACGAACATATCGGCTCTAATCTAGCATTAGCGTCCGTTTCGGAGGCACCCAGGACGGACATTATAAAGGCAAGAGACAGTGCACCCCAGGAGCTCAATCAGATGCGCACATATGAGAACATGACAGATCAAGGCTCACCTCTGACTGTGTTTCAGCTGTTTTTTCGCACGAATTTCCTTGTAACATTTTGAGCAATAACCCTCCCATTCGGGGTTTCCGTAGAACTGGCAGCCATTTCGGCAGTAAACGTCTCTGTCTTCAACATGTAGCAGAGTACCCCGGCGAGACGTCATCTCGATCTCGTACCCAGTGCAGGAAATTCAGAATGAGATTCTCCGGAGCGATCGGTCGTCGGCTCTTGCGACGGGCTGTCAGAGATAGTTTTTCCTCTCCGTCAAGGATTCACAAAAGTTACCGATCTGCACCTCGACCTGTTGCTTGGCTATCGTTCCCTTATCTATCGCACCCGAAAGGCTCGGGAAGATGCGAAAGATCTTTTGGAAATAGAATAGTAGACTCGCAACTCAGATGGTCCTCTAGCCGTGTGGAGCAGACGGAGGCGCGACACTGTCAACAATCGTGACTCATGGCGCCAAGTTTTCAAAAGTGCGCAGTCGTCGCTCATACGCGCGGCGCGCATCCGGCGCACTCGTGTTTTGTGAAATCGGAATCCAACAAATCACGACCGACGGAAGCGTCGGCCCGCAGAACGAGACTCATCAGAGATATGAATTTCTAGAGGAGTTGGAATGCCGCGTATCGGGTTTCTTCAACGATTCTCCGAGAGTATTGGAGGGTGAAGAATGGAATCATCATTTACTACGCAGTCATGTTTTCAATACGCACGACGCCGACGCCCGCATGACCGACTAGTGTCAAGAGGATTCATTTGCTCTGATTCTGTCATCTGGTTCCCGTAGATTGAGTGCAAGATGACGAACTAGTGGCGAAAATCGGCTTCATATCCACAAACCCTTATGGAACCCTTATAAAAACCCTTATGGAGCGCGATCGTTGGTCAAAACATGCTGTGATATACGGAACTCAATAATTTCAAGATCGCAACAATTCACCGCCGAATTCTGGCAGATGACAGCAATCTTGGATTTTCCTGTCCCGCCAAGGAGGACTTGTCGCTCCTGATGAATCACTACACTTGAAGCGACGGAACTGACCCGTGTTGTATACTCCGGACGTCGTGACTGCTGACCGGGGTAGCTGCGGAAGTTCCCGACCTTAATTTACACTCGGCAATATCATGGCTCCCGGACGTCGCAGGGGGAGTCGAGGATATACGCTTTACGCGGAAAGGAGTCAGCTTTGACATGCCGAGGAAAATTTCGGGCTTGCGGGAAATTCGTATATGGGGTCGAGGTGCAGAGGGGAGAGGGGGCTGTGAGCCGTGTCCACTGCCAACGGGGAATGGGCTCGAATGCTTGTTCATAATATGTTCAGTCGCCTATGATCGGATCCAAATGAATTATTCATCCTAAAAGTTCGAAAAGGAATGATCCCATTCATCGATGCATGAAAGAGTCGAGCTGAATCAATGGCGACACATAGAGAATCAGGAGATGCGCCACAGATTCGCGAGAGACTCGAGCGAGTGGAACGCATGGGCCAACGACGTCTATTTTGTAGACTGAGAAGCATTGTGCGTAACTCAGCTCCAGGTCGAAATCAGCGCGGTACGCTTTCGCAGTCCATAGGATATCCGCCGGTGAATCACTGGGCAATGACTGAGCCCCGCCATCGCGATCGGACTTGATGATGTCTGAGATCTCGGTTCTTCGCTTCCTAGTCTGGAATTTTCAAGATACAGTCTCCACGCGATACGCGACGCACCCTGACCCTTGAACAATACTCTCAGGAACCCGACACAAGAAGAAAGATCGCCATACATGTCTTACGCATCCTCACAGGTTTGTCTTAGGAACTTCTGACTCATCCCATGATCTCTCCATACCGCTCGATTCGGTACAACGGGAAGAACAGCAACGAACGCGTCCTCCGTCCGCTCTCCTGTGCTGTCAAGGGACGCGTGGATTTCTCTTCGCGCTGCCGAAAACACCGCGTCGAGCTCACCGTAGTGTCGCCATGAAATTTTGGGTACTCATCGGCCATGCCTGCTTTTTTGCTCTCTTGCTTGCCAGCCTGGTCTTCGTCAGAGAGACTTTCTAGTTGTCCGTGGGCTCGGTGCGTCGGCTCGTGTGGATCGAGTCAATCAGATACATATTCGGAAACCAGCAAAATTATACAGCGAAGTGTGCTTGCATTAGGGAGAGATCCCCAGATACCTCACTGGAAGGACGCGCAAGTTTTATCTCGACGTCCCAGCGTTCAACGAAATTCTACCTTCAGGAACTTGGTTGCTTGGTCTACGTGTCGCTCGACAGCATATAACCGGGTAGGTCACCCTTCGGGGCTCAGAATCCTCCGGTCGATGTGGGTCGGTTCTTCCTATTGTGTTATTCCCAGCTGCGATACAGGTGGAGAAGAGGTTGACTTGCATTGAGACATCCTCCGTTCCCACGAATCCGGACGTCTGAGAGTTCCTCGACCTTTACCACCCCTGTTTTCCCCTGAGCAAGCTCCAGTTCACCCGCTGGCCTCCAGTCTTACTGGAACCAATTCGTTGATGAACACACTAAGATGCGTGTAAAGATGGAAACTCATGTGATGTAGCAACAGGTGCTGGAGAGCGAGAGTCTTCGCCTTCACGTACCTTCAGAGAGCATGCAGGGAATATAAATCAATACGAATGAGGACTAAGGGCCGGGCGCAATCGAAATCGTTACCGCTGGATAAGCGATCCGGTCGCGCTCATTTCTTCCGCAAAGATCACCAACATCAAAGTGTTCACTCTCACGTCAACATTTTCCTCTACTGCTCGTTTCTGATTCCCTGACTTTCAGCGCTTATTTGCCGTAGACCTGAGATACGCAAAATTGTGCGACGCCCAAGGCGTACATAGAACTGTGCAGAAAGTACGGCGTACGACCATTCGAGACTAACATCAAGTCTAGGTCCTCGCACACAGCAGAAAAAAACTCTTAACAGTTGGAGAATTAGAAATCTAATCGTGACAATGCTACAGTTTCATGGTCGACATTCGGTCTAACAACGAACAATCCCATCAACCTGACGACGAGTCGTGTAGTCAGGATTGGCTGCCCCCACCGTGCGCGGGAGAAACCGTATGGGTGCCACGTTCTCGATAGAAGACAGCGGTGCTCGACTTGAACGAACATGGAGTTCAGGAGCGAAGTACGCGGGGTAGGCGCCGTCGTTTTCCGTCCTCGGTCCGCTGATTCCACAGAGCTGTTGCCCGTGGGGCGGGGCTCCGTCAACTCGTGGTTACGACGAGATCATGATGTGCCTAGTAGAGTCTCGGACATTCCCCGCCTTCAAACGCCGGCTTGTCTCTGATCGAGTCGCGGTACTTGGGCCCATCTGATGAAACTCGCCAGGTCCCTGACGGGCACGTTGTGTGAGATAGCTTTCACTGCCAGATTCCGATCGGCAGTGAGAAGAACCGCTTCTCTGAACAACTTCAACGGTGCCTCGGTCTCTCCGGGCTGCAACGATTGTTCTCTGCTCAGGCTGATTGCGCAGGACAGAATCACATCGTCGTTGCTTCCCTGGAATACGATCCAGGATATGGTGTCAGATATTGAACGCTCGCATGATCGGCTCCGACCTGAGAGGGATAATTACTCGATAGTTATAAGTTTAATAACTTTCTAAATCAATCTTACCGCGTTTTCGGTCCCGGTTTCTGTGCGGAAAGCAATGGAATCTAGGAGGCTGCCTCGAGAGGTTATCGTCCTCAGTTTCGGTTCCCGGGCGTTGAACATCTCCTTGAGATAGGACAGGGCATCCTGGGCGAAAGCTGTGACCCGAGCCGCATGTTCTGGGTCCTGATGCGCACGCGCCCCGGAACTGTTATTCGTTCCGCGTGCCAGACCGTCCAGCTCGTTGACAACTGCGACGAAGAAAACGAACGAAACATGAAATGAGCAGCTTACAGAAAAAGAATTGATAGTCGCATCCTCGCACCTGTCGGTGCGTTCAGATCAATTTGCACTCGATCATTCATCCATTTTGAGGGGAGCTTGAAGACCACTGACCGACAATCGGGATATATATGCTGAATTTCTTGCAGGCGACGAGCCGCTGTATCAGCTCCAGATGATCCACGAGACAGTTAGTGTCAGGTATAAGATACCGCGGACGGATTTCCAGAATGGTAGCGCCACGGTTATTGTTCAGCACTCTCTGGAAATTGGAGGTGTTTTATTATCACCATAGTAATATTCTTACCGAGACCGTTCCCCCCTCCCTGGATACGCCTCTGCTCGGCGGCAGCTGCCACTGGTAGAGGAGAAATCACCTCGATGTAAGCATCGACGCGGTTCTGGTGCCTCATTCGTTTCTGCAGATTATGTTTTTTCTTCCGGAGTTTATCGACCTCGGTCATCGCATCTTCATTGAGGCTTGTGTCAAGGACATTTGCGTCTTCGTTCTCCGAATGCTCCGAAGAGCCGGTTTGCTGTAGAAGTAAGAGAATCGTATTCTCAGAAGAAATAAACATATTTCGGGAGCTGATTATTCTTCTCAAGGGAATTGGATTTCCCGATACCCAACGCCTTGTCTCTACCGATTCATAGTTGCCAACGAGATTGTCTTCGTCATCCGCACAGTCGTCGTCCTGGCGTCCGTTGTCGACGATGAGAGAGCCGTAAGTGCGGTGGTACACATCATACGAGAGGTATGGCTTCTTCAACCCGCAGAGGTAATCGGCGAAGAAGTTGAGTCGATGTATTCGCACCATTGTACGGAAGGCCTCACGATGTTCGGACGGAACCGGACCAGCGAGGAAAGGATCAATCGGCGAATCTGTAACAAAGTTCGTCAGACGGTCCTGTTTCCCCCTACCCAATCGCTGATGGATGAGGGCCGGGAACGTTACTAACTTAGTACGGGAACGAAGCCAGCCATGATGGTGTCCTCCGGGAGCACGAGCTCTTCGGTCGATGGCGCGTTCACAGCCTCCGAGAATAATTTCGATTGCTGCTCGCTTCGGAGATTTTCTGCTCGCTGTAGCGCGTTGAGGAGTTCCGCCAAGGCTGTCCATACGTCTCCCTTCGTTCTGGAATATTATCACGGATTATCACCGATAGGTCGAGGCAACTTCTACGGCTTCTCAGCTCAGCATTAAATCGAAATTCTCGACCGATGACGGTGAGTCGTCGAGCACTCACGAAGTACTGAAGTCGCACATATTGGGCGGGGGACACCAAAGCATTTTGTGGCCGGACATCCAGTCGGTCCAAACTTTCAGCACTGGCAGAAGCTCTTCGACGTCTTCGGGTAGAATTCTATACGAATTGGAATAATTAATTGGAGATCGCTCAGAATACACGAGTCTTCCTCTTCCGATCTCCCGAAGTCAATCTTCGCCGAATCACTGTCGGGTTAGTGAAGACACCGGAGCATTCTTGTTTCACCTGTCGTCAGATCCCGAACGCTGCCGAAGGTACTCATCGATCCTCTCGCTGCATCTCTCCATCAAGTGGGTGACGAACGCCAACGCTATCTGGACACTGTGCTCCTGCATCAGTGACCGCGCATTTGAGTCGAGGGCTTCGGCATCTGCATCGGGGGAAACTGTGAGAGGCGAGGGTTCGGCCTCTTTCTCTCGCGACTTCATAATAAGAGCGCGCTGATTACTTACTCTTGAGAGAGTTGTTGGCTACTGAGAAAATGCATATCGTCAAGAGCTGTAAGTATCTAGCACCTCCTCCGGGACCCAAGGGCTTCCTCAGAAGACACTTCAGCTCGACCATCATCTGTTTTGCGGCGTCGGAGAATTGGTCCATCCCGATTTTGGAGAAAAGCTTCCCGTGGACATGGAGGAAACTCGAAGTGAATTGTTTCAGGAGGTCGAGGTCAGACATCGCTCTCAGTTCTTCGATCATGTCCTGTTTCTGTTCCAACTCTGAATCCCCTCGTCTCTGCCAGCTCGACCCGTCAGGACGTATCCAGATTTCACACCTTCGAGAAGATCGCAGGTTTTTAGGATATCCACTTGGAGCTGACTCCGGAGACATCACGCACGCCTCGAGTCGCTCGAGGTCTTACCTTGACTGCTCCGGCAAAGCCAAGTGGCTATTGCTCTTGTTCGCTTCGAGCTGTTTTTTCATCTTTTCTTGTGCTTCATATTTTTTCCGAACCTCGTCGAACAACGTTGTCAGGGACTCCTTCGCCGTCAAGAATGGGTTGCTCACGGCCAAGCTTCGCATGTAGTGATAAACAGCATCCAGTTTGCGTCTCTGGAAATCGGGGAAAATATCTATTTCAGTCGGCGTGCGAGCCCCCTCCATGAGACCTATCGATGGTGGATTTCGAGCAGTCATGCGTAACGTCATCACTCACCGAGTAAACTGCAAGGAGAGCTAACTGGTTGTAAGGTTTTCCATTCTTCGGCGCAAGCTGCTGGGCTTTGAGGTAATAATCCCGGGCCCTGACAAAGTTCGCGCTCTCCAGAGCCTGCTCTCGGTAGCGGCAGAGGTCTCCCAAGTAAATGAGAATTTTGTGCGCGGAAATAGACACCATCTGTAAGGCGGAAAGGGATAGTCCATCGCTCCTATCCGAAGTTTCTTCGAGACCAATATGTCTTTGCTCTCATTGACCCGGTATTGCGCCTGACTGCTCGGAAACGAATGACCGGAAGAACCCACCTTCATAGAACCCCTCGAGCCCAAGACATGGGGCTGTTCACTTCGCAAGATTTCGTTAAGGTTGAAACCGTGCAAGCCCTGAAGTTGTTCCAGGAGATTTTCGTAATAGAGCGTCCCTTCTTCGACGATTTCACAAATGTTGGCACGAACACTCTCCGGCGTTCGAACTCCGAACTCCATTTCTCGTCTGAGAGTTTCGATCACTTGATAGTACACTGCCTGTGGGAGCCAGATTTTTCTCCTTACAAAGTCCGTCCCCCTCGAAAATTCGAGCAATCTTCATCGGCTTGTCGAACTTACCTTCCAGAGCAATTGCTCTATGTTCTTCTCAGCGGAGAAGCGGGGATCGTTCAGAACGACGTGCTCGTATCTGTTTCTAATTTTGAATCTCAGATCCGTGAGTTGAGCAATACCGTCGTCTGCTTGCGCAGCTACGGGCAGCTGTGCCGCGAGCTCTCCCTCGAGCTCTTGAGCCTCCTGGAGGTTCTTCGAAATCGCCTCCTTTAGTTGCCTGTGTAGGAGAGCATAATGAGGACTACCGCCGGAGACCATGATATTTTCATTAGACTTCTCCGCCGCATCCAAGCTCTTTCCTGACTGAATTAGTATCGAGGGCCGGGACCAATGATTCCAAACGGTTCTCATCCCAGGAAGCGCCGTCAGTGCAAGTACCGTCAGGTCGAAGAAAATTGGGGACGGAAATTCGGATTTTTCGCTCATGGATTAATAGTTGCAAAGAACACACCGGGCCGTCCGTGCTCCCGTCATTCCGAAATTCCGTTCGCGTCATCACGAGCTAGATTGGACTACGAACAATGCGACCCGTATTAATTTGAATCTGGAAGCTCTGGGTAAGCCCGAGTCAATGTCATCCAGCCCGCGAACTTACAAAGTACCGTTGCGCTTTAGAAGCGTGTATAGGGCCGGATGATGCGGTGGAATAAAATTGTAAGAGCCTTGGTGCGAGATCATCTCGCATCGAGATGCCTCTCTGCAATTTCCGTCTCCATTGAATGAATTTTCTACGGATTCCCGTGAGAGATTCCGCGCTGAACGGCTGAGGCAAATATTCTCTCGACGATCGCCAAGTACAGCGGATCCGAGGTTTCAGTAGAGAACGCATACAGCAACTCACCTTTGCATGACACTCGATCTAGAGCTGCTTCTTGATTCGTCTTCCAGGTGAGGCACGGGTCGGACACTCAGAAGAGGCTTTGCTGCTCTAGCTTTCGTTCCCAGCTCGGCGCCGTCGGGAAGTTCCGAAGAGCTCTTGGTCCGCTCATCCCTACAAGGAATTTCGACGTATTCTCCGTTCACGGATTGGAGAGGCCCACTCAGGAAAATAGGCAATAATCCACCATCGATCAATTTTCACTGCTATCCCAACTAACCGATTCCGATTGCCAGACTGATCCATTCCGAATACTTTCCTCTGGGCTTCTCTTTGCTTTTGGAATCGAGGGGGCAGTGCTTCATTGGTTCTTCGATCATCTCGTGATGTCCTAGGGGAACGAAGTCCCACGGCGTCCGTTCTCTTATCCCAGCTGTTGTCGCGTTGCCTTCAGGATCGAAAATATCGATTAGAGAAGGCTCCGATAGTGGAATGAATCCGATCGGACTGATTCTATCCGATCTAGCTGATTCAGAGTTCCCCATCAGAGTCACGGTGAGGAAACACTTTGAAACTGTTCGGAGTTACAAATCATTCTCGGTTACGAATCTCAATTTCTAGATATCTAGACGCGTTTTCAGAGATCTGTGTATCTTCGAGAGGGATTATTCTCCCATACCTGAGAGACTTGAACAATGGGTGATGTGTCATTGGAAATCAAATGAGGAATCACCGCGAGGATGAGGAGGAAATTGAGAGATTACCTTTTATCGTTCGGGGGTCTTTGAGACTGAGGCCGGCCACCGCTATTCTGTGACCAGCTGCTGGCCTCGCTGTCCAATCGCTTTCTCTGGGAGCAGTTGCCTGTATACGAAGTCTGACTGAAGGACCTCGCGTCCTCGGAATTCGTCATCGAATCTCCGACTCGGTTCCCGGGCGAATTATTCGCGACCCTGTGAATCGGAGACAGACGAGGCGCACCATCATCGACGGAAATGCTCTCAGAGAAGCTATAACCGAAGGATCCTCCCTGGCTTGGAGGCGGAGGCGACGGGCATTCCGACCAATCGATCCGAGTGAGAGATGAGGTTTTTCTCGAAGTGACCCCTCTCACTTCTGCATCTTCAGCTGGAAGAGTATATGATAAGGAGAAGCCTTCGGGATGAGGGATATCACGATATATAGACGAGGCTGGGGCTTGTCGCGTGCGAACCTTGGTCATCCGAATCGTGAAACTCAAGGGGTCTTGATTTTCCCGGAAGCTCTTCATCGTCAGATGACCGGGTATCATTGAGGGAGTCTTTCTGCGGCGCTCGTCGTTTCTCTCTATTCCGTAGATATCGGCGATCTGTCTCAGTATTGCTCGTTGAGTCCTTGCTCCTCTCCTGCGACATCTTGTTTCTCTCACGAGGTTTGTCATCTTGACACCAAAGATGTTTCTTCGGTCGCTCCATTTCGTCCCGTTCCTGGGATCGCTGCATTCGACGAAATCCAATTATTCTCAGTTATTGTAAAACCTCCTTGACGGAGACATGGCGTCTCGAGCGACGCTTCCATGTTTCATTTCATTGAATTCAGCGCGATGGATACCCTGCGTCTCTGGTGGGGATCCCATTCCCTGGACCCAGAAATTCTGGAAGAGTTTTTGTAAGAGTCTCGTTGTGAGTTCCTTGACGAACCGCTACTGTTGAACTTCTCTCTTGAGTCCTGTCTCCACACATTTCGACGACTGTGATCTCGCTCGTCACGGTATCTGTAAATGGAGATCTTGAATACATCTCGATAGATGCAGATCCCGATAAATGTCCGGATGTTACGTCGTTTAATTTCGCGCGAATCGAACGGAAGATTGCGACGGGAGATATAACGCTCTCGCTCCGCCCACTGAGACCCCACCTCGAATCGTTGTCTTCTTGCGATCTACCCTTGGAATATCTCCGATGATAATCGCCTCGGTCGCGGTGTGGCCTACAACGAAATGACAGCTCGAATGAGGACGACTCTGAAGAAAGTGCTCCTATCACAATGGCGAAAAGAAAGCCGCGCACGCGTAAACTCTAGTAGACTATTTTCACCTGTCTTGCTGTCTCACATCATCGTCGTAATCCTTCCGTACCCGATCGGGCCTAGAGGGGAATTAATTCTCACTTAGACAGGGAAGGCGGGAAATGCTCGAATATTATCCGCTTCAGTCAGAAACTGCGCAACGCACCTTTTCAACGCGTTCGTCGGGGGACCGCGCATTTCCAATCTCTCGAACTTCTGTTGGACGGCCTCCATCGGATCATTGGCTGTTCACAGGTAGGGAAATGGAGGAAAATGTCAGACAACTAAGGGCACAGTCCACGTAGGCGCTCCTTACTCCATCGTGCCCGCAAGCCTGTTCCGCTCTCATCTTAGCGGCCGAAATTTTCATTCGGGGGAAGCGTCAGCTATTCTCGATCAAGGCCGCTCTGAAGTGGCCTTGGTGGGTCGCTGGCGGACAGCACGCGGACGGACCCGATGTAACCAAGCAGCTTCCGAATAAGTCATCTCGATAGGAGGGTCACGAAACTTACCGACTTCAGGCTTCTCCTTATCCCTCTGCTGACGATCGCCCCTCCTTCCTCCAGGGCCGTTGCCACTCGAACCTCCACCGGCGAATCCTTTCCCGGGTTGATAGAGTGCGCGCTCCTGCTTCGTGGAGCGGCGCCGATTGTTGTTCCGCGTGACTGAAAAGCCATAGCGGTTCTTAAAGGTTCCCGGCATACCATTTTCAATTAGCGTGGCAGGTGTTCCCTCCAAATGACAAGCGAGCCCTGCTAGAGCTTTCCTCCGAAAAAAATTATTCTTACCACCATCTCCGCCTCCGTCATCCCCCATTTTTCTTGGCGGTCAATGCGAAGCCTCACATGGACGTTCGACTGTCGCTCAAGGTAGAACAATCACTGGTGTCACTTTCACGCATGGTATGCCATTGCTCTCAGCGGAATTCCGCAGAGAAGACTCGATAGAAAAATCCGGCTCCTTTTCGTTTTCTGCGTCAAAGTTGAAGAAGTCTAAGTCGGCTCCGGAACAGAGAACAGCTCACACTCAGCACAAAGTTAGACTCATTGATGATGTTTCGCTCTCTCGGAATGAGGGATCGAGCAGTGGAGACACTTCTGCCAGTCGAGGGAGTCTCCGAAGTTTTCACAGCTGTTCTTGTTATGGTCGAACTGGAACGACGGCTCGGCTCTCTACGCGGTACTTTGAGGTAGTCTTGTGATTCTCCCAGAGACGCGAGAATGACCCTCCTGAGCGAAAGTGAAGCGCTACGGCTGAAGAGTTCGTTGTACAGCAATGACGAGAGTAGACAAGGAGAGCTTTGCAATGAACAACATCAATAAGTAAGAGGAGCTCTCTTTCATATGAGCGGTTGCAGTCGAATGTTTACCGCGTGATGATGGTAGTGATCTCTGCTTGGAAAGACGGATCCGCGATTATGTGGACAAGGTTCACATTCCCTTCCATGAACGCAACGAGAGAAGGCAACTTCCAGAGCTTCTACGGACGGCGAGATTCTCCCGGCTCTCGCTCTGTTTTCCGTGAGCATTTGTAAAGAAGCTTCAGTGAGGGGGCCCTGCTTGATCCAGAATCTCATCGATGAATGAGTCGTCTGTCATCTATGAGAACCGCGAATCAGGCATCATTGAATACTGACAGTGATATAAGAGGTTGATGATGGACTAGATCCTTCTCGATTGAGAAGCACTGAGTCAGTGCGAAAGCATTCGGACCTGAGCACGAGGAATTCGCGGGGAGCTCCCTCGCCACGTAGTCTCGAGTCTCGTCCACTGATGGCTTCGTCGCTGTCGATCGCGACGTAGAGATCCGCGCCACTACCATTAGATTACCCCGAGACTGACCGAGGGGGCTCCATGGAGAAAGGCTTGCAATTGTCGCTCGGTCTATGCGAAGATTCTGCTCTATCTTTCACGAGGTAGGCATTCGGAAGAGATACCGAGGAAACCTGGACCGGATCCTCGAATATAGCTCAAGGTAGGAGCTTCTTCGCGAGGCGATTTCGGTTTCATCTCTTCGGTCGCCAGGATTCAATAAGCAGCCATCACCTGTCAGCCTGGATGCCCTGGATGCCCAAACGAATCCGACTCTTCTCGAAATAAGCCGCTACATAGGAGTTCAGTTCTTCGCAGCCCTCATATATCAGTTCTTCAATCAGATGTTCAACCGGTGCCGCAGTCCCAACTTTGCCGAAGAGTTGAGCTCGGTCCAGCCTCTCATGAATGCTGTGCCTGGGAATTTTTCAAAAGACTCCTGTCATCTTGGAGGTCAAGGAGATAGACTGTGCTTACCTACATCCATTTCACACCTTAGTAGGGAGGTCAAAATCGCGCATCAAGCGAAGATACCCAGACATCTAAAATGCGATTTCTTAGAAAGATGCATGTGGGCGTTTCAGCGGGTTCCCATTTTCCGAGCTTTGTGCGTGTTTCGATTCCCTTCCGTGTTCCCCCCATATCGCACGTCGCTTGAACCCATCCTATACGGCTCCCGGGCGCAGAATCACGCCCGCGACTCGGTCGGAGCTTCTCGAAACTCGAAACCCTGACTCCAAATCAGCGGTACTCTCTGGGAGAGGGCAGTCGAATCCAGCGTTCGGGCTAACGGGGAGTCGGGCTTATGGCGCACAACCAGCTCCGCTCCGTACCCCGCCCCAATGGAAACCGTTTTCGGCTATATGATCCCCCCGCCGATGAGAAATTAGAATTAGAATTATTAGAGACGCCGATGAGAAATTGAAGGACAGGTTGTCAGAGGTGGACGCCTCGTCATGCACAAAGTGCTTTCGCTGGTCCCTGGTACACCTTGGTGCTGAAATTCAATATTAGTCGTGATGAGACTGATAATCATGATCTCTATCGCTCAAGAGCATGCCGATCTTCTCATTTGAAACCGCTTCAGTCATATTCTATACGGATTTTTTTATCATGGGAGAGTGCGCTCGTGCTGCTTACCCTGTCTTCAGATCCGGAACCTATACGCCGACTACCGCGGAATTTCATGAATCAGTTCGTCGCTCGCGGGAGTTGAGCTTGGGCAACCTACAGAGGCGAGTCCCTGGAGGTGTTTTTCGTCCATCATACATTGTTCAGTGCTCCTTCTCTTTGGAACATCCTAGGAGCTCCTAAGAGTGTGACTCTCGCCCCCACGCGCTCCTCCTACCCCGTTCTGTGCGGCAAATGGAATTTCGGATATCCTGGCCAGGAGTATCGCAGGACTCTCAAACATGGCGGTCTTGGGAGCGCTAACACTCAACTCGCTCCTTTGCTGTTTACCCCCGTAGCAGACCGAACCTAAGCCTCTGTCATTCGGGGGGTGCCATTGGTTTGCCATCGCTGTGTTTTACCTATATGGCCGTCCCCGAACGGCCGTGGCTTAGAAGCATCGCAACACGAGCTAGAGCAAGAGCAGAAAAGTTGCACTCTCGAGGAGTGCAGTCGGCTAAGGCTACCGCAGCAGAAAGCAGCAACATACAGCAAGTGCCGCATCATGTAAGTTACCCTATCCCACTGCCAAGTTCCATTTTCCGTCTCCGGAACTCCTTCTCCGAACTGAACCCTCGCAGGCTCCGGGAGAAATTCGTTCGGTGCCCGGGCTTCTCGGAGCTCAGCGAGAACCGGGTCGAGGACGGTCCTATTCATGGTCGAAAAAAAGTCTTGTTCCGAAGACCCGACGCTCAGTGGACGCCATCCTGGTAGTTGTGCTGTGCGCGGAACGATGCGCGCGGAATGGCGCAGAGTTCTCGCTCCTTGGCGAGCCGCATTGGCGGATCTGAGTCTCGCCCCCGTATCTTCCGCGGGTTCGCAACTAAAAGCCGCGGATACCGATCGCGCGGCGGGACCTCGGCCAGAAGAATCGGATCGAATGCCGAGATTAATACCGGAATCAATGATATGCGCCAAGGCTACTCGCCATCGCTCCTCCTCGGTCGAGCCATCGCTACGGATTGCGAGTCCGCAGACACCATGGAAATGGAATGAGCCGAGGCTTTTGCTTCAGAAAATGAAAGCTCGAGTTCGGTATTCTCCTCGGGATTAGGCTTCAGTCCACTGGGCGCTCCAGCGAAGCGAGGGCCCATTCTTATAAGCTCCTCAGGAGCAATAGAAGCTTTAGGTTGCGCTGAGAACTGCTAGCATATTGAGACCTGATTTGGCTATCCTGGGCAGAATTTCAATCGCTACTTGGCTTGTTCCGAGCAGGGAAACGTTAGTCTTGTTCGATTTTCTCGGATTTAAGGTCTGGGATTCGGAAGGAACCTACGAATGAATGGGTCAGGCGGCTCCCGAGAATTCTTAGATGGACGCTGTTTTCTGGTCCGCTCTGAACGTTATCGTCGTGTTCCAATTTTTTTCTCGCTTTGCTCTGATTGTTGGAGCTTTTCTCAGGGGATTCTGACTCGAGTCTCGATACTTCTGGTAAGTGAGATCCATTTTCCCTCTGCAGGTCCGCACCCGCAGATGGAGCGGCCGCAGATGGCGCACCCGCTGCGCCCGCGGTCAATCCTCAGCATCAAGCGGCATCGAAGCGGATCCAACAAACGCAAGCGCAAGTCGATGAAGTCGTGGATATCATGAGGACAAATGTAGAAAAAGTCCTCGAGCGAGATTCGAAGCTTTCGGAGCTAGATGACCGAGCTGATGCATTGCAGCAAGGCGCGTCCCAATTTGAACAGCAAGCCGGAAAGCTCAAACGCAAATTCTGGTGGAAAAACTGCAAGATGATAATTGTTATGGTGGCGATAGGTGCCGTCTTCGTCTTAATCATTGCGAGTGAGTATGGGTGTTGCGTGATTTATGAAATCGTGGAGGCTCGATTAACTGCCGAACCGTTCAGCAGAGATTCTTGAGGAGTGAATCACGTTCGATGCTTCTTTTCAGTGAAATTCATGTAAGAACCCCGAGCTAGCTAGCCGGGTCGCTGGTTGGCTCTACGAGCACCGATATCATGTATGCCGTTACTTGACGATGGATTGCGATGATACACCGCTGGTTCCCGCTGGTTCACGAAGAGTAATTCCGTGTATACGACCGAAACGACATCGCAAACAACTTGAAGACAACGTGTAGCTGGATTTCTAGAAGGCACATCTCACTCTCGTCAGGGCCTGCTATTATGCATTCCACTTCTAGCACGACTACTTCAGCGTTCTTCTTCCGATCAAACGATAAAACTCATTTACGAAAATGATCATTAATTCAATCAAATAAAGCTTCTAGCGCTGTTCAACGAGTCTGAGCGGGCTCCTTCTTCGTCGGCTACGATTTCTTTCCCGATTCGACAATCGTGACGGAGGCCATTCCCGTGTCTCTTGTGACAATATCCAAGGTCCCTCAACCCTACGTGCAATCGCCGGCGGATCTTGATTCCACTCCTCTCCCCCGGTCAGGGCCCGCTAACAAACAAGTCATCTCCCCAAGGTGTTATCCAGATGTCATCCTCCCGCATCGTATGCAGTGAGCGATGACCTCGAGGTATACAGTCATTTCTCGATTTAGTGAACACCTCCGGGGAACGAAATTTACGAGACACTAAATTGTGGTGTTCACTAAATCGCGAGACTCTATTTTTCTGACCCTTGAGCTCGAATTCACCCGGAAACACGCACATAGACTTATGAAAGGGAACAGATTTCGATGTTCGGGGAGTAGAAAAAATTTCGGTTTCCGGTAGGATAGAATTTCGGACGCTCCGAGCTTGAAAGGCAGGCGTCATCGATTAAGAAGAAACGAGGAGGGAGGAAAGAGAGATGCCGCCTGATTGCTCGTCGCAGGGTCTCGACTGTCTTATCGGCTGCTATAGTATCAGATGAAACTCTCGTGCCGCAGCGAGAGTTTTTTTCGCTATTTTCTGCTAGGCCAGGAGGAGCACCGCCTCCAAAGTTGACTAAATCGGAAGAAATGCATCTCGGGACCCATAGAGCGGTTCTCTAAATCGCGTTTTTCACTGAATCCAGATTGACTAAATCGAGCGGCTTCAACATTAGCAGTCCATGGATCGAAGCCGTGATTTGCACTAAACTGGTAGCTTACTAAATCGGGCGGTGACTGTAGTTCACCTTGACAGATTTCGAAGCTCTCAGAAACGTCCTCGATCGTTGAGCCGGAGGCATCCGATCGAGATAGATGATGACTGATGGCCACCTCTGAGCAGGAATTACCTAATCGATTATGAAGTAGATTCCCGAGAACTTCCCTCAGAGCTTCAGATGTTCGTCCATCGACGCGTCAGGAATTCCAGTGAACAATATCAGGTCCTCCACGCTCGATTTCACGTCAAGATCGCAAAAGCGGGGTATTCACAGGAAGGCGTTCTGGAGCATCATCACCTTCGACTTCCGTTGGCGACACATTAGCGATAGGCTGCCAACTGATACATAACACGGACAGCGTGCGATACCTCATCTCAGCGAAGATGCGGCTGGCAGGAGAGTCTCTGGGGCTCTGATTCGATGGCTTCCTCATTTCACTGAGTCAATTAATTCAATGACAAAGACGCTCCCGATCTCGCCGTTATATCGGCGCATGTTCGCTGCGTCGCTACTGGCGATCATCCAATCATAGCTCATGACTCCAGATGCCACCTCAGTATCGGAATCTTGACGAGCCCTCAGAGCATGGAAGCTCCTCAAATTGTTTCCAAGGGAAAACAGTTTGGAGCTTAGTGAGGGATGAATTCACCCAGTCCCCGGTCACTCCGTCATCAGAAGAGACGAGTTCGAAGAGGACTATTGCATCGAATTCCGCTCACTGAATTCACAGTACTTTACGCATACCCCAGGGACGCTTCAGCAAAGCTCGCTTGCACTATTTCAGCGCTGACTCCGATGCCAGCGTTGCTTGATGTTCATGTCCTCCGGCTTCCGTAGAAGCTGTGAAGGGAACAGAGTGAAGAAGAGAGCATCAAGGGAGGTTCACGAGATTCTCCCGCTTTTCTTCCAGGTCGTATATTATGATGAATACACCTCCAAATAACCAGCCGAAAATATGGTATGCGATGTGTTTTCACCCTCCCGAGAGAAGTCTGGAACTCATGGGCGGCCTGGGAGGGATGGGAATCAGAGGCTCCGACAGTCTGACTGAGAGAGTCCGCTCTGAACTTCCATTCGATTCCTCCGATCGAGTGAATCCTGAGAAGATTTATACCTCAGGCCTGCCTGCATAAGACCGGCTTTGATCAACCTCCAACATTTCGAGCCTAAATAGCTGTGCTCATCGAGTTCATAGCCATGGGAAGAGGACGAACCGGCGAGTCTCCCGCGTAATTCTTCAGGGTAGGTGATTTCAACCACGTCGGCGTCACAATCGCCCACAGCGGTCGTTTCGTTTCCTCAAGAGCGGCTCCTCCGGCCGTTTCCTCCGCCATTCAGAGAAGGCACGGAGCGGCGGCAACGCAACAAGTTCGAAAGGATCGGATTACGCTCTCAAAGTCGTTTGGGAGCCCAAGGAGCAATGAAAACAAAAAGCAAACAGTAAGATCGTCGCAGCTGCTGCAACAGCGGTCGTTGCCGCTGTCTCGACGAGTCTTGATGCGGAATCCGGATGGCGACATCCGTTTCCCCGCGAAGCGAAGCGGCGGTCGTTGGTGCTGTTTCAGCCTTTGCGCTGCCTCGGATCTGGGGACTTTCGGTCGGTCTTTCATTGAGACGTCAACCTACCAAGAGACCATCCGGGCCAGCGACCGACCGACCAACCAACAAACTAGCTCAGCCACGCTCGGGAGGGTACGATGCAATTTAAGATGCAAATGCACGCACTATGTTAATCAATGGTAGAGACCAACGAAAGTGTCAGAGGCTCTGCTCCACCTGCTTTCGTCGTGGACAGTCTATATTAGGTACGTCGAGAAATGATGAATGCAACCCGTCGTAGAGCCACGACACTCGCTGAAAATGAGAGCCCGACTCGATTTCGTGCCGCCAGGGCTCCGATCGGTCCTCTAATTATGGGTCGAGCCGGGAGCTCTCGCGCCAGTATCAGGCGATTCCAATTGCAGGGAACTCGGTGGATTCCTTGATGGAATCCTGAACTACCTTGTTCCTCTCTCGCGCAAAATAGGTCCGGAAGAGGCTTCGACCCTCTGTTATGAGCTTGAGGAGCCCGTCCCGTCAAGAATGAAGTCGGGAGAGGGGGATCCGATAGAGGACTCCGAAGCGCTTTCTGTTAGAAACCGCGTTAGGGGGCGTATATCGAGAAACGAATTTGCTTGCGGAGCCCGTTGAACAGCAAAGCTCGCAGCTCTCAAATCAATAGAGGAAGAAGGACTCTGAATGACAAAGTTGGTATAGACCGAGGGGAGAGGAGGGTGCCGCGTAGTTCGAGTAGAGATAGTGGTAGGACAACGAGCACGCCACGAATGACAAGGGTGACGCGGAGTGAGAGCCAGCAGGCGGACCGGAGCAGCCGTGAGGCTTCGATGTTAACGACGTGGAACAATAGAGACGGAGTAGGGACGAACGGAGAGCGTCGCTGTGCACACGATGAAGAAAAAGGGCTCCGAAGATAACAACGCCTATCGGGAGTGAAAGACTCCCTCAGGAGAACGAGTGCGCAGAGATAGAACCAACGCAGCAGCAGCCACGGTCGTCGCTGCCGTTGCTGACGACTTCTCGGGATGCTGCGCGAACGCTGCTGGTGCAGCAAGAAAGAACGACGGACTGTCGAAACTCGACGGCCCATTAGGAAGGCGAGGGCAGACGACTGACATCAGAATCGCTCAATGCGCTTGCTGGATCGGAATAACAAAACGGCGAACACAGTAATTTCGCTCAAGATCTAATTCTCCTCGAGTTTTTCCTTGTCCGATTGCGCAGGCTCCCTCCCTCGCTCAGTGCTGAGCATCGTATTGGATTTCGTTGCTTCCAGAACCACGGCAAGCCACAGGTAGGCGAAGATTGCGACGAGGTGCAAATGAGTGTCGCAATTTGAAGGTTCGCTCCATTTTCGCGGATAGGATGTTCTGTTGCAACGTGTGTTGTGCTTCTGTCAAATGACGCGTGACTCCCACGCAGGAGTCCGCGCGCTCGATGCAGCATTCGAGCCTCCCGATCCGAACAATTGTGAAGCCAGTCGTACAATCCGGGAGAGGAAGCAGCCGCAGCCAAATCCACCGCCGGCGCCGTCCCCGCAACACAGGGAACGGGACGGAATCGGGGCGTTCAGGAGAGACGATTGCAATCCCGACTTGCGTACCTACCCGGGAGTGTGTGCGAATGCGACGACGAGCCAAATTCCGCCCATTACTTGTCACCAGCTTCGCTGATAGTACCTTTCTCTCCTCCGCTCCGGAGCCCGCACTCCTTCGATTGCTCGCAGAAAACGAATGGTACGGAGGGAAGTCGAGCTCTTCTCTTTTACTTCTACCTGCAGCAGTCTCTGTTGCGAGTATCAATCGAGTCGATTTCCTTCTACGATTCAATATCTGATCACTACTGGAGGGAGTTTTCGCTTCCTTTCTTGCTCCAGCGCATTCATTACAGCTTTGTTCCTCGATTCCCCCGTCGGCAGAGAGCACGAGGGATATCGAGAGTCGCGATCAACATTTAATAGCCCATCGATTCTGAATGATAAACCCCCTGGCATCGCTGGATGCCTTGCTAGGCGGCAAGGGAACCTGCTGATTATTGAAACTCGTTCCCCAACAGCCGTCGTTCGGCGCCGCGCCGACATCACTCGTTTCGTATGTGTACACAACGACCTAATAAATTGAGAATCAACCCCAGAGCTCTCATCAACGAAGAGGACCGAGCAGTTATGTCTCCCACAGTCCGCTGCTTGTTCGTTGATAAATGTGATTAGCTCCATCGGACGATGCTAGGGAAAGAAGACGCAGCAGCAGCACCAGGGTATGCCTACATGATCGATGCATCATGCACAACGCACTCACCCTATGGGAGCGCTCCGTGAATTATGCGCGACACGACGCATTGCTGATGGTGCACGAGCTGCCCTCCGTTCGAGGCTGTTGCATTCAACTTTCGAAACTTGCTCGCAAGCCGGTGGTCCAATCGGCTCGAGCATCGTCGATTCGACCACTGTGTCTGACAGAAAAAAACAGAAGGAAACCGCGATTCATCCACGCCGATTCGGTAACCTGACTTCTTGTAGGGTCGGTGAATGAAAGGGTCGTGAATGATGTTCCTGTGCATCGACTGGCCTCTTATAATCGAATCGAGTCCTATGAAGTCCTTATTCCCCGGACCTTGGTCGGTTATCTGTTTGAGTCCCAGATTCC